AAATGTCCTCTGACTCTCAGGGTGGGGACCAGTTCCGTGGTATCCTCTGACTCTCAGGGTGGGGACCAGTTCCGTGGTGCCCTCTGACTCAGAGTGGGGACCAGTTCTGTGGTGTCCTCTGCCTCTCAGGGTGGGGACCAGTTCTGTGCTGCTATTTGACTCTCAGGGTGGGGACCAGTTCTGTGGTGTCCTCTGATTCTCAGGGTGGGGACCATTTCTGTGCTGCCTTCTGACTCTCAGGTTGGGAACCAGTTCCGTGGTGCCCTCTGACTCAGAGTGGGGACCAGTTCTGTGGTGTTCTCTGACTCTCAGGGTGGGGAACTAGTTCAGTGGTGTCCTCTGACTCTCAGGGTGGGAATCAGTTCTTGCTGCCCTCTGACTCTCAGGGTGCTGATCAGTTTTTATTTTTTATGACCCTTTAAGACTCCGGGTGGAGACTACATGACTGAATACAGTTAAACAATGACCAAGGTTGTGTCAACTGCGGAACGTATTTGGCACAAGTTGACATTGTCACCGCTTTTCTGACGAAACACTTATCGTCTGATGTGTCAACATACCTGTGGTATTTCCATTACGAAGAGAGCAAGAGATTTCCGCATAAAAAATACAAGAGACTTTTTTCTGGGGTTTTAAATGAGTCAACCTTGCAACTGTCAAGTATTAAATCATTAAAGAAACTTCTCATAAAGCAAGTGTTTTCAGCCAATTAATATTTCATCTAGCTATCTTACCGAAAAAAGTAACTTATTACAAAAGAAGCCCCAAGTATTATTGCGATTAAAAATTACCCTGCCTCGTTTTCAAAACCATCGTGCATGAACCTATACCTTTCAAACGTCCACAAAGCATATTCTCTATTTCCAGTTTCTTTCACTAAATCTCCCTCCCAGTGTATGCACAGTATCTGGGATCCAAAATTTATCTTATCTCTTAGAAGTAATACAGTGAACTAAAAATGAAGGTTGTCCTAACCAAGAAATCTGTAAGCGACTTCACCGCCTCGGCTATAGACAGGCACTTTCACCCTGTTACGTAAATATAGGGCGCACTCAGAACAAGTTGATCTGCGGACTAACAGATCCGCGGACCAACTCTGGCGCCACCCACTTGAAAGCGTGCCGAGATTTAGTTGCTTTGCCCCTGCTGGGACGGCGCGTGTGGGAGGCGGGAATCCATGGTCAAGTGCGTGCTATATTTGATACGCGGACCAGTTACTCCGCGGATCAGCTTTGTTGTGAATGCTCTCATAGACAACATAAGTCGACAAAAAGACCAGTCTCGCACAGAATTGGCCTGTTTTAGTTAATATAACGTAAAATATAAATTCTTATTTGAAAATATGTGTGAGTTTTATTTTCAAACGGCGCCAATATTAACAATTTTGTATCTTGTTATTCATTTATTCGTATATTTTTATGGGAATCGGTGCAATGCTGCCCTCGACGGGCCCCTGATTAAACGACAAAGAAGCAACGGCACAATTAAGAATTCTCAGTCCCCAAATTTGTGAAGAGTTGTCAACCATAGTACCCAATTAATTCCTAAGAGATAATAATTCCTGGAGAAAGAAAAGGGGTGAATTGTTAATAAAAAAAAAAAAACGGCAGAATATTTTCAAACCACAGGGATGCACCCATACAGTTTAAAAATATAAGACTATGATTTGCTTAATTTTACTTGCAGGTTGTCCCATTAAGAAAGGACGAAACAAACAATCAAATATATTGATATATTAATGGACACAACCTACGGTTCAAATTAAATGTGTTTTTGTTGTTATATAGAGCTCTATAATCGAAACAATACATCAAAAGTTATAGTCCTGTATATACCAGTATAGCGCCGAATGCAAATGCTGACGTTTACATGTACTTGTACTTGCAAAAGACTAACACCCCATTTCCATAGATTAGATCGACCTACTTTAGATCGACCTAACTCCCTGGGGGTTCACGCTAAATAGCTGTCAGCCGGGCGGACACGAAAGTTAATTACCCTCTTACAGCTTGTAGTAGGCGGGACGAACATTTAAGTCGGATTATCTGAAAGTAATCTAGTGAGACTCCCCGCGGGGATAGATCGATCTAAAATCTATGGGAATAGAGCCTATGTTTTGCCAAAGAGTTATAACTCCTTGGTTTTGCATACAACAAATAACATGAATAAACTATCCGCAGATTTCACCAAGCACAAAATGCTGCTCATAAGGCCGCTTTCTAGCCTGCAGGCGGAGACACTGTGAACAAGATAGACTGCCAACAGTATATTATGTGCTGTATCAATTTGTCGTTATTGTCATTATAACGGTGCGACAGATGTCGTTGATGCCTGCGCTTTGGGAAAGTTGCCTTGCGCTTCATTTCTCGTAGTTTTGCCCTCTGTGTCCCATAAGCTGATTAAAAAGCTACGTTTAATGATAATAAAAAGAGCGTTGTTTTTTATCGTTTGGTAAAAGAGGATATTCAAAATTCAAAAATAAACTTTTCTCCATTGTTATTCTCTTCCTACCTATCACTTATCTCTCCTCTGTTCTAATTCTCGACCAAATGAGTATCGCATTACCACTTGTTTCGAGTTTTTATTGGATTTGGTAAGGGTACTCAAAATGGGTCTCTCTTTCCCGTTCGAGTTCATCATTCACTTGTTTTCCTTATTATATGAATCATCATGACTGCGGTCATAATACAATGTTTCTATCTCAGCCTGAGGCGGGCGCATTGTGTTAGGCTAATAGCGACACAATAACTTGGCAAAACCCCGATGAATTTCGAACAAAATAGATTTTGCCTCTGAACACAGAAATTTCTCTCTCTTTCTCTCCTTTTATTCGCCGCTTTCCCCCTTTTCCTCATGCCTGTTTCTCATTATCTCTCTCTAAATAAATTTAAAAAGAAAGAGCGACATGAAAAATATCAGATTTTCATGATTCCTATTTCATACTGAGCAGTATTGGAGAATAAGGAAGCAATAATTGAAAAAAATGCTTAAAGAAACAGTACGTTGGGAAGATATCGACTACGAATATGTCATGACGTATGGCTACATCTAAATCGCCATCCTCTCTCTCTCTCTCTCTCTCTCTCTCTCTCTCTCTCTCGTTTTTTTTTTTTTTTTTTTTTTTTTTTTTTTTTTTTTTTTTTTTTTTTTTTTTGATAATATGCAGACGAAGAGAGGAGTAGATGAATGCAACCCACGTCGCTGCCTAAAATAAAATTCATTCTTCTGCAGGGAGGCAAAAGACAAAATTTGACCTCCACACTCCCCCTCCCCTGAACACACACACACACACACACACACACACACACACACTAGCTTAAAAAGTCCTTTACTTTACATGAGGACCAAACGAACATTTTCATCCCCCTCCCCAACAAACACATATACATTAAATGTCTAGGTCGTTATATGTGTACCTTTTGATAAAAAAAGGCGATACGCACCCGTTTCCTCTTTGGCGAGAACAGTTGGAACGAAACGTGCGACGTGCTTTTATTTTGGCTCGGATGTGTTTTTATATGTTATTTGCCAAATTTTCCCAATATATCAGATTCGCACCTGTCATCTGGTTTATTATATTTAGCGGACAAGCATTCTCTTCGTCTGACAGGTGTTGTCGAAATGTTTTACATTTATGTCGCGCTCTTGCTTTCACAGTAGGCGCCATTAATGTAACAAGGAGGGACGCCAGAAACGAAATAACGGGAAAATTATCAACGAGAACTAAGACTGTGGACTGTAAAATCGCGCCAAAAAGCCATGATGAGGATCATTGCAAAGGGATTTTGTTTTATTTTCATTTTTATCGTCGTTTTGTTGAAAAGCGGCTGCTGTGAATTAACGAGGAGCGCTTGCGCGGGGAATAAACAGCGAAGTTTAGTAAGCGATCCGGAAAGTTGTAACAGGTATTTGTAGACTTCAGTACTTTATTGCTCAAGTTGATTCATTTTCATTATTAATTCAGCACAACGAGATGACGCTGGAAGATGAAAACAGCAATTCCAAAACAAAAAACAGAGCTAATTTGCGAGTAAGAAGAATTTCTGAAAGCTTCTCGTCAGCTGTTTTGTGAACTCTATTATTAAAGCATTTTAGCGACGATTTGTATAACGGTGTTGCATTTCCTCAAAATCAACCGATCTACTTTTCGTTTTCTAGAAATAAATAAAAGGACATGCAGTGAGGAAAATTCAAAGGGCGAAGGAGGTGGGGGGAGGGAGTGCATGTCTCATTTTAAGGGTATTTCAACCCTCCAGGGATCTGTCATGACTTACGTTAAATTCCCAGAGGGGTAAAATAATTAATTATCATTTTTCTGCCTCTCTTTGCACGACATGTTTACAATAATATATGATAGGAGTGAGTAAGTGTGTGTGTGTGTGTGTGTGTGTGTGTGTGTGAATGGAGGGGGCACCAACCCCCTAGATCTGCCCATAGCTTATCTATACCCTCTACCAGGGTGGCAGGCGCATTTTCCTCCAGCCAGTTAGAAGATTAACCATATTTAGCCAGAGACATTATCTGTGAAAATCTAGTGAAAAACGAATCAATAGACCTGGTACAGGATAGCATATCTACATGTATATATGTTCTTTTTGTACGGCAGGTTTATCGTGTGTTGGTACGGCTACCCAGTGTACACACTCTCCTGTCCAGATGGTCTTCACTGGAACCCAGTCGTACACACCTGCGTCCATCTCCGGGATTCTATATGTGACTGTAAGTATTCTAGTGAGAGCGCCTTATTCTGGTGTGTGTGTGTGTGTGCGCGCGTGTGTGTGTGTTTGGGTGTGTGTGTGTGTACGTCTGTGTATGCGTGTGTGTGCGTTTTGTAGAGTTGTGGATTCTTGTTTTGTAGATTTGTAGGTTTTTACTGCCTATTGTGTGTATCTTGAAAAAAATTGAATGTTATTGTTTGTATAATTAGTGTATAATATTTATTTAGATAATGCTCGGAGCCTATTTGTACCAAGCAACCAATGAGCGCATATTTTACATGTGGATTAGTCATCTGCCAATGCCAGTAAAGAACGTGCTTAGAACTGTAATAATCGTCTACATTGTTTGACACCAAACGAACTTTTGATAAATGGACCCCCGCACCCCAACCAAACATTTTAATATTTTCAGCATCAAAAGGTGGTCAGAGCTCATTCAGTTTTGAAGAACCGTCCAGTCACCCAGGTGGCACGAAGACAGACTCGTCTGCTGGCGGTGATAGCGAGGCCTCGTTATCGTCAGCCTCCGCCCTGATGTCATCAGAAGCATCAGGTGATGGAGAGGAGGATTTATATGTCACATCCAAGAGTAAGGGGGGCTAAAACTGGCATTTCCGTTTTTACCATTTTAGCCCGTAGCAAAACCTTTTAAATTAATTTTGACATCACATAGATATCGACAGCATTTCCTGTCTTCCAGGTCTGACAAGTACCAGTACACTTTATATAGGGCCTACATGTATATTTCTCCTTAAAGGGCATTTACAAATAATAATAATAATAATAATAATAATAATAATAATAATAATAATAATAATAATAAAACAACAATAAAAATAACAATAACAATAAACAGTATATCCAGTAACCGTTTCTGTCTGTAAAAATATATCGTCATTTCAATATTTCTCATCATGGCGTTGTTATACTGTATTACAGTACACCACTTGTGCATGAAACATAACTGGGGCAATAATCCGGAACCGACCGACTGCAGTCGATATCTCTCCTGCTCTGGAGGAACGGTCGTTGCCAGGATGCGATCCTGTCCATCCGGTTTGCTGTTCCATCCCGGACTTCAAATCTGCACATGGCCGACTGACGTAGATTGCGGAGATCGCCCTTATCCAGGAGTAGCACCTGTTTCTACCACCTTTTCTGGCAGTAGTACTAGAAGAAGTACAACCGTTCCTACAACTAGAAGCACTGGCATTGATCCTCTGTGTTTGACACGCAAGTATGGCAATAATCCGGAACCAGACGACTGCAGCCAATACCTCTCTTGCTCAGGCGGAATTGTTGTCGCTAGAAAAAGGCCCTGTCCATCCGGTTTACTTTTCCATACTGCGCTACAAATTTGCACATGGGCAGCTACAGTTAACTGTGGAGATCGCCCTAATCCAGGTGCTACTTCTACCACTGCTCAGACTACTAGCACTACTCCTGCAACAACGCATACCATAACAACGGTTACTACGACAACCAGGCGTCCCATGACGACGACATCACCCTCTCCAGCTATGACTAGTAGTGTTATGCCTATTTCCTCCACTGCTTCTATTAGCACTCAAAGAAGTACACCGAGCTCTGCAGCAGAAACTACAAGAAGCACTGACCCTCTTTGTATGACGAGAAAGTCGGGAAACAATCCGGAACCTAACGACTGCAGCAAATATCTGTCTTGCTCTGGCGGAACCGTCGTCGCTAGGATGCGATCCTGTCCATCCGGTTTGCTTTTCCACCCTGCACTACAAATTTGCACATGGGCAGCCTCAGTTGATTGTGGAGATCGCCCTTTGTCAGCTGCAAGCACTTCTTCTACCACTGCCCAGACCACTAGCACTGCTCCTGCAACAACGCATACCATAACAACGGTCACTACGACAACCAGTCGTCCCATGACGACGACATCACCCTCTCCAGCTATGACTAGCACTACCATGCCAATGTTCTCCACCTCAGGCACTAATAGCCAAAGTAGTTTAACACCCTCCTCTAACTCCAGGACAGGCGGCGGTGGGGTGGACCCTCTCTGTGTGAACGAGGGGGACAACCCTGACCCCAGTAGTTGCAGCCTCTATCTGTCATGCGCACACGGCCGGGTTGTTGCTAGGATGCGGCACTGTCCCACTGGACTTTTGTTTGATTCTGTACTGCGGATGTGCAACTGGCCCGCTTACGTAGACTGTGGCCACCGCCCTTTGCCTTGACTGGACCATGCTACTTAGAAAGAGAAGGTAGAACATTTAAGATATGTCGTTTTGTCTTACGTGGTGTCCGTAGTTAGTAGTATTTCCTCATTTAAATGTTGAAATATCTTAGATACCACTATAGGACAATATTGAAAATCGCAGTATAAAATATATCGTATCCTTTTATTTAATGGTTGTGTATTGTAGTATTGGTATTATATCTTTATTATCAAAAAGTCACGCCTGTTAGCGAGCGGAGCAGATATCTTAGAAATGATGTCTCTCTCTCTTCATCAATACGGAATAAAGGATTAATTAAAAATTATATTTAATCCAAACCTAAATCATTGTAATGTGCTTTGCCATAGATATTTGTGTATATATAAAATATGTCAAAATCTTACCATATGCGGCATCAAGCATTAAAAGGTTGTGGAAAGGGGTTATCTTTGATTAAATACTATAAGGACGACCTTTAAAGTTGAGTTTACTTGTATGCAAGTACGACGAAACTTCTCAACGGTTGCTCATTGACTGCCATTTTATATTCATTTTATATTATATTCTGTTAATATTATATGAAGGCCTCTTCATAGAATACACTTGCAGAACTTTGTTTTAGAAAAATTAATAAATTATATATCAGAAAATAAAGATGGATGCGTGCATGCAACTAAGTAAAAGAGTAATATGTTATCAAATATATTGGATGGATAACAAGCACAGTTTTTTCAGATTTGAATATTTTATAATCATCCACTATGTTTTATTACAATTTTGCATAATGCTGCAAGGCTATTCAGTGGCACAAAGAGTTTTTTTACTCGCTGGTGTTCAATGATAAAATTATTGTTCTAAAACACTGTGGCGATATTATGTTTACTTATGTATCAAGTGTTATGCTTTCTGAAAACACTAATATTCCATCTCACGATAGTGGACTTTTAAAAAATCAATTGATATTTTATCAATTAACAGGAGACACTCTCAACTGCGAACAGCAAGTGTGACGACTAAATAAAAAGGCCTTTAAGTGTATTATTATTATTATTATTATAAATGATAAATGATAATTCATAATTTATAATCTTTGCCGGCGTCATTTCTTCATATTAAAGAAAAAATTATTGAAAATAAAGTCAATATTGCTATATTATTTGTGTTTTAGAATATTATTTGGGCGCTACAAATAGTGCAAAAAATCACCAAAAATTATGTGCTGAAGGACCCCCACCCCAACGTCGCTTGCGCTATGAAAGCCTTGTTTGTGTTTGGTTTCTCTATATGCCCTTATTATTAATTGCGTTAGTTGCGAACGTCAATAAATGACACATTCAACTAAATTCTCAGTTTAAAAATGCTTTAGATGTGACGCGCAGAACATTCTTTAAAATGCACTTGTTCCTTTTTGCCGACTCACTATCCCTACAGAGAGAAATCTCTCAATGCCCGAAGCAAAACTTATGGTAATAATAATATGTAAAACTGTCCTCCGGTAGCTGAAGGCATCCTCGATCTGTTGCTAGTCGATATTTTAATTCCAAGAGGGGAATATCAGCCTGTTTTTTTTTTCAGAAACCAAAGGGGGAGGTCATAACCCCCTGACCCCCCCCCTTTAAGGACGCCACTGCAGTTACATGTTTATAGAGTGAAGAAGAGGAAACATCCAATTCTATGACCGTGTTCTTAAATAGTGTATACCTAAACAATAAAAACTTGAGGACACACACACACACACACACACACACACACACATACACACAGAGAGAGAGAGAGAGAGAGAGAGAGAGAGAGAGAGAGATGTCTCTTGTTGATAAAAAGGTTTCATTTGGTTGTAGAAATTTATAACAACATTATCCAGAAGATGGATTGTAGATGTCCATGTTACTACCTTCCCTGATTCTAACTGAAATACCGCTTGTCACTGAAGCATGGGCGGGGGGATATACAGTGTATAACAAATTTCCATCTTCAGTGCCAACTCAAAAGTCCCTTTATTCTGGCTAGAATGTATGCTTTTAAGCACTTTAAAGTACACTTTATCTGTACATGGAATCACTATGCATGCCTCGGTGGCCCCAACTGATCTACATACCAATTGTTGTGCAATGTTAACAGGTGACTGTTCGTACTAATAGGGGTTTTAGATGTGCATCTGTATCAGGCATTCCGGCCAGAGAATGATAAATATTCATGCAACACGGAAGCAAATTAAATGATACTCTTTTGACTGTATATGATTATACAATATGGAATAAGGGGAGTCCACACGCCTTCAATTACTTCCTTTCCCACTAAAATTGGTTACATAATTCTTTGGATTTTAGATTCCTTTTTAGAGGCATCTCAATGACATCATAAACATTGTTTACCTTTTAAGCGATATAATACTTCTCACAGTTACCTTTTATAGGAAGTCTTTTTTTATACTTTAATCTAAAACACTACCATCTACAGATAATTCAAAGATGCAGTTTAACTTATATTTAATGTCTATGCCACAACTACTAAAAATTAAAATATGAACCTATCCAATGACATAATGATAAATTCATATTCAATTATTTAATTCAATATGGAGTGGAAATACTAGTCGTGATTTCCATTAGGAGAGTGTTTCTCGAATAAAGTATCCCAAACTAAAAAAAGAACTGGTTTATAGATTATAATTCTGTCAGAAGTTTTGGATAGGATGTGCCACCGCTATTTAAGAAAAACGGCTCGAAATTGCTGGGGAATTGACATTTTACTACACTGTATGTAGAAAGGTGTGGCCATTATTGTGTCCCTTTTAAAGTTAATCGCAACCATCCCGTTTGGGCAGCTAAAAATAAACTTTTGCATACATCATATAATAAAGGGACGTGGAATGAAAAATTGCAGCTTTTGTTTTATGTAATACAGACTGTTCTAACCACAACATCCAGTTATTTAGATAGCTTATAGATGGAAACGCGTTGTACATCAGGCCCGTATAGCCAGCACTTTCAAAAGGGGAGTTCTTTCAACCCCCCTGAGCCCCCCTCTCCTCTGGCTACAAGCCTGTACATATATATGCTCAAAGAAAATAAATTTACTATTGCAGGTGCGTAGGGACCGAAATTTAAGTGGGTGGGTCGTGAGTTGGTACATCTCTTGTATTATGTAACACAAACGGTTGTGGCCCACATTAAAATATCCGTACAGAGCCTTTGGATGTAGACAGTGCATATATTATCACAAATGAAAATTAAAATTGAGGGGGAGCGAGTCGAAAAGAAAAGTAGATTGTTCCCATTAGCCGTCTATTTCTTGGGCCTATGAGACGTGGTTACAAAAAGTGGGGGTTGGTTAGCCCTGCCCCCCCCCCTCCCCACCCCCCCCCCCTCTCCCCGCTCCTAGCTGGTTCATATTTGTATCATGGGTAACGAGTGACATTTTTGTTTTGAGCGTGCTTAATTTCTACAGTACCATTGTAGGCAATATACTAAGCCATACTTCTTTAATAGACATTGAAGGCTTAATCGGGTCTTTTAAACTGTCAAAATATCATATTTTATTATTGACGAGCCGGCTGATCCAAAGCTTAAGAATTAAAATAAAAGATAAATAAAGGGCGCTCACTAAGTGCAGTGTATATGGTCATCCCCACGCGGCTCGTATACATGTAGTTTATAAAGATCGTACCATGTGTCATATATGATAGACTATAAGACAATGAGACGACACTGATATGCGTATCTATATAGTTGTTGGTCCGATAAGCTGGACAACGAATCGGTCGCGCTGGACGTGAGTCGCACATGTGTATAGGAAGATGTACATGTAGTTTTTCTCCGCCGTGAGGTTCATTTCAGGAGCATTGAGACGCAGGTCCTCACAAGTACTCTGAAATTTAGTCACATTCTGCAAGGGGATTATCGAGCAAACTGTCAACTAACTCCGTACAACAATGACATCCTCTGATGGGATCTACAGGGGTTGGATTATACTGGCAATTTCTATCATTTTATTTATGGTGAGCACGGGAGCTGAATCGTCATGGGGGACGATGATATTATGTTTTCGGCGGGACGAAGACTTCCTGGAATCGTCGCTTGCACAGCTTGGTAAAATCTTTTTTGTAGTTGCCTTTTTTTAATTAATTAATTTATTTATTTATTTATTTATTTATTTATTTATTTATTTATTTATTTATTTTTAGGGGGCAGGGGGTAGTACTAGTACACTAGTTGAAATAGGTTTACAGATTGTAAATAATTAAGCATTGGTCCTTTAGGGAAAATTTTTTTCACAGGGAAGTTATTATTATTATTATTATTATTTGATATGAAGGTCTAACGCCAGTCAGTGTCTTTTAAGGCCTATATGCTGCAGTCCAATATGTTTACTCCCCACATTAAGACATTAATGTTAAGACGCGACTTTGGCAGAGTTTTGGATTACATTAAAACGTGGTGGTATATCATTAAGGGCCTGACACTGCTGTTATAGCCACCTATATAAAGGCCGAGTCACTTGTCTATTTTTATAACGAGAGAGACGTGCAAGATTAACATTAAGATTAGAGACCAATTTTTTTAATCAGCATCAACATCATCATTTTATATGTGGTCGTTTGGTGTTTTTTTTTTTTTTTTTTTTTTTTTTTTTTTTTTTTTCACAAATGTGAGTCATTGTATTCCACTATCGGTCCCCATTTTTACTTCCGGTATATATTAAATTCTAATTGGCCTATGTGTTTCAAACGCATCTAGACGAATTCAGAACAAGAGACACACTGGCTGTGGCATTCAAAAAAGGATACATGTTACCTAGAGGAATCATTCGCTGGATTGAAATTATTTTTTGTTGTGCCTGTCAGTTACTATCACAAGAGACGAACCAGTTACACTGTGCGTTATGTTTTTTATCCTCATCACGCATTTTATTTTCCAGGTTCTCCTCTCACCGTGTACTTTGCATTTAAAACGGCCCTGAGCAACCTCGTCTTTACGGCACTGCTCAGATATGGAGAGTTCAGCCTTCGCCAGTTCGCGGCCCTCGGGCTATCTCTCATGGTGACGGGACTATTTCTAACGTCCTTTGGGAATGGGCCCCAACCCGTGGCAGTATCTTTTGGCATTATGTTTGGTACTGGATGTGGATTGTATCTAATTACTACGTATTTGGTGATAGCACGCTGGTTTCCGTGGACGCATCGGTTCCACGTATTTGCAGCTAGTGCGATGGCCGTTATGATTTTCCTAGGTTAGTAAATGACAGATATCCGTTGCAAAATGAAAAGTTTGCAACAATATTGCGGCAAAATTGCAGCAGAAAATTTTGTATTACAGCTAATTTGCAGTGAATTTGCGAAAGAGTTTGCGGCAGGCCTGATATTTTGCTAAGGATATATATATATATATATAAAACGCTTGATATGACACACGTACTTGTGCAGCCGCAAAAGCAGAGTGAAAGCAAATAATTCGAATAATGGTAAATAGAAATTTTTATTACCTCCGACTAGGAGGATAAGATTTTGATTAAGATAGTTAGTTTGTCTGTTCGCAACACCATGCAAAAAGTAATGAACGGATTCTGACTAAATTTTCTGGCTAGATCACAAATGGGCCATGGAAACTTGATTTATTTTAGGCTGATGTTGATTACCTCTGAGACGCGCTCTTCGTCGAAGCTACAAAAAATGTAATAATTACGTATTGACCTACCAGTATTTTAATGGTACAGGTCACAGGCCTTTTTGCAAACTGTGACCTGGCGTTTCACACGCCAACGCATTCTTCGTTAACCCATTGTACACTTCACACACGTATTGAATCACTTATGTCGATTGTCTATAATTTCTAACAGGTAAAATTTTTGACAGAGGTTTGCGCTCTCTGAGTGGTTTTCTAGTTAACAACTGAGTTAAGTACTGAAAAACTGAGTATTCAATCCCCTCCATCCTTCCTTCCTTCCTTAATACCACCATTCCTTCCTTCCTTCCTTCCTTCCTTCCTTCCTTCCTTCCGTCTTTTCCTCCCCTCCGTTTACTTTAACATGGATATGTTTCATCTTCAGGTGCGTCGGTTATGAACAGCATCAGTTTGAAGATGTGTAAAAACCCGTTGCTAGGGTGGCGATGGGCGTTCCGAGTTTACGCAGCCGCCATTGGAGCACTTGGTCTTCTCCTGGTCATGGTATTCGGGCGCCCTCCAGCGGTGACACACGCACACCAGACTAGTTCTACTAGTAATAAGTACACATCGTTTCAGCATTTGCTTTTTAAGTTCCGAACTTTCGTTTTCGAGATACGTGATGCTCATTGGGCATTTATATAACAAAAATAAATGAAGCCAATGAATAATAACAGTACTGAGAATTTCAATAAGTTTATATCCGCTCCAAAGCTTTTGAATTGAGATCTATAAACCTTGATTAAGTTCTAAATTGCTATTTAAAGCGTTACGATTGGATGTCATTATTTTTAATTATTAAATTATTAAAATTGTCCTTTTTCCGCAGGGAACTTCATGATGTTGAGTAAAGATTATCTAATTAACAGACGATTGCTCTTTTTAGGCAAAACGTACAAAAACCGCCCTGGTCAACAAGTTCCACATTTGTCGTTCATGGAATATGGGCCCTTGCAGCTTGTGGGGTGGGGTATGCCTACTATCTGCCTTTCGTTATATTAGTATGTATAGCATGTATTCATGGCAAGCATTGAAAAATGTCTATTTGCCACAGACACGCGTACGTGACGCCGCATACAAAAGTGCAAAATGAAGTACTTAATAGCAAATATACAATGCTCACCTAATAATCTTACATATTCGATTTTATATCATATTTTGTATTTATTTAAGCCAGATACCACAAAAGGTAAACAGTTAAACACAGTAGAAAATTCTCTTTTTTTTTTTTTTTTTTTGTATTATTTCTCTCACTCAGCCAAAACACGTGACCGATCTAGGATATAGCGAAGATGAAGCCGAGTACGTGATGATGGTTTTGGGAATCATGGGCATGATTGGTCAGCTGGTGTTCTCCTGTGTTGGAGACTATGTGAAAGGCAAGCTAATGCTGGTGAACCTGATTGCAATCTCCTTGGTGGTCGTTAACAATATTGTTGCTGCATATTCCACAACTTTGGCAGCCGTTTTTATGTATAGCGCTAGTAGGTATTTTTATTTATTTGCACTAGTTGATTATTTGTTTCGATTAGAAAAACAGCCTTGTTACGCTGCAAACAGAAAAAAAATGTTTCCGTATAAGCAGACAGAATATCGCACGGTATATACATGTGAATCCTGAATTTGTGAATAAAATGGTAAGAGAAAACATTATCCCTTTTAAATTAGTCATCTGTTGTGAATTTTTTTAATTTGAAGGCACATTTCTGACAAATTCTGAATGGTGTTGTGTACTCATGGTCAGTGAATTAGAAATTGTCACCAAATGTGAAATAACTGTGTAGTCGTAGGTGTGGGTTGCGGCATGTACCTGGCAATCTACTTTCCCGTCCACAACGAGATCATGGACGGAGAGAACGTCGCCACGCTATTTCTGACGATGCGCTTCAGCAGAGGTGTTGGAGCCACTGCAGCACCGTATATAGCTGGTAGGTGACCGTTAAGTGCATCTGTGCCAATAATTATATAGACCTATATCATGCAAATCTGTATGATAGAAAGATAATTATGGAAAAAGGATTTAAGACAGAAACGAAAAATCATACTGTTTATGTAAAACCTCTTCATTTAACAGATTTTTTATTTCATTTGAAGGTGATAGGTCTTAATGTTGTCTCACGCCATGGGACTCATTGTTTTCATATATTTGGTTGTTATTTGTTTCACATACACTTTAAGTAAAAGAAAAAAAAACTGAATAACTGATGTGTTGGATCAATCAGTACCTATAACATGCATTGCCGTTTATAATTTTAATTATAAACGGCAATGCATGTTATAGGCATGGTCACTGAATTAAAAATCTATTATTTATATGACTTGCCAATGCTCTCGAATCATGATTCTGACCATGCATTCAAAACCAAGAGAAACATTTAAGAGAAACATGAATAAAAACTCCAAATTCGATACTCGGTGGTCAATGTTCCTGTTACAAATAGTTCCTGTGCCCAGTATAGTATCCGCATTGCTATCGTTACAGGTTATATACGTGACGTCACCGGAAGCTATAGCGCAGCTTTCCTGTCCGTTGCGTCAAGCTTTGGGGTGTTTGTAACGGCAACATTGGCGCTCATATGTATCAACAAGTTTCGGAACCTGCAAAGTCTTGACGAGGAAAAGGAACCAATCACGGGGATGAGCTCAAGATAAACGTCATCGTATTTTTTACTCCTGTTATATATGTATAATTTGCAAGTGTTGCTGATGGCCAGACTTTTTTTTTTTTTTTTTTTTTTTTTTTTTTGAAAAATAGAAACTAACGACAATCTGGGCTTTGAGTAAGATAATTATTGAAGTTTTCATTTTGGGAAACAATTATTACGCCATATTTCATATGATCCTGTGATGTTTTATTTTTCAAACTGCAGTGACAATATAAGTGTAGTCACGGTTAAGTCACGTTGGCTTATCTAGGTTAACTCGTCCAACCGGTGTAGCGAAACTGATGTAACAGAAAGTCCGCTCTCCATAGAGTTATAATGGTTAGAGTAAGTCTGACCAGAGAATTCTGTCTACGATATTATTCCCTGGTCTGATCGACCTATGTGGGTCAAAACCTAAGGCGAGGCTCACCTGTACAAATGAATGGGAAGCGGACCCTCTGTTATGGGGGACTCTCTGTCACGTTACATTGGCACAAAGAAGATTCATGTCAATTCACCGTATAGATCTTAAGGAAAAAAGTATTATTACTTAATTAATAAAAGGTGAGTGAAAGGTGTCCTATGTCTTGTCCATGTCAATATGTGTTTATATATAAACCCACTTTATAGAGGTGCTGTGATGTTTTTGTTTTTGCTGATTTAAATACTGAAAGAAAAGTATACGTAATTCATATTAGTTTTAATCATCATTCTTCCTTCCTGCACACTCACTTTGAACAAATCTGTCTTGTATACCTTTATATAGATATTTATTGATTGCTATGATTTATTGATTTCAAAAATACTAGACTTCATTAACCTGACTTTCTTGTTTATAAAATACTTAAGATTTGTAAGAGGAGGTACAATACTCTAGGACATAGAAATTTGCATATTGTCTCATTAATATTTCAGGATTTAATGTAAAAATTGTTATGTTCAATGGCATTCCTCTGTAAAATGGGTAATAAAAACAATAAAAAAAAAGGTTATTACCCTGTTATCGAAACTGAGGGGGTTTCCCAATAACTGATAGCATTTATTGTTGATGTTGATGTCAAATGTTTGATTTCGATATCATTGTATTTTTAGATATCACATACTTGTCAGGAAACCTCTATTGCAGAATATGCGCTAAAAGGATTGTGGCCACTGAAATTGATAAAATGCTGGGATATTGATCTGTACCTAAATTGGTTAATTATTTCAGTGACAGCATTCAATTTTATTCAAATTGGGAAAATAGAAACTTTTCCATTTACAATAAATCCAAATGTGATCCCCCTGAAACTATAAATAAATGCATATATAATCATTCATCGTGCTGTTTTATGTATGTAAAGATCTTCATTTTTTATTAACGTATGTCATNTAAAAAAAAAATAATAATAATAATTTATCGGCACATAGAAAAATTAATCAGTTTTAGGTTCTGTCTGATAGGTGGTTTGTCGTACCTGGATATGTACATTACTGCATCACGAGACTAGTATAATAAAAATTCCATTTTTTTAAATGTTAGCTTTGATCATGCTGATGGAATTTTGCTTTTAATGCTTTCGCTTTTGCATTTTAATGTAATACAATAGCAAAGTACCATCATCATTAAAATCGTCGCCTAACCTCTCTCATTATCAAAATTATCATGCCGTTCACGGAATGATACAGAAAAAAATATTAACTGATACATTGTACTTGTACTTTTTTTTTTTTTTTTTTAACAATAGCATTGCTTTCCAGCACAAAATTTCTTCAATAATGGCTCGCTAATATATCCTTGGTCAATATGTAAATACTTTCAATGGAACATTGGAAGGAGTCATCTGTAACTAAATAATAATCGATCTCAAATTGCGAACATGTAATGTAGCATAAGGCACATATACACATATACATGTATATTACGCAATGGTGCATTAAATTTTATTCTTTATTTTGATCGGTATGCACTGAATGAGTAAACACATAAGAAATTTTATGAAAAGTTAAATTTGAAAACCGATGCAACCATTAAGAGAAAATTTATTTTTCCATTTTTCCACAAATGAAGATATAAAGTATATATTTTACATCATTGAGTATGTTATTGTACTTTTTGAGCAGGATTCACGGCTATTGTTTACATTTCTCCAACCTTTGTACGAATAGCCAATAGCGATATCATTCTAGATGTCAGTGTTACAAATTGTAAAATGTGAGTAAAACATATTCATTGTAAGTACTGGAATGTCTTAACTTTGCCCCACTGCTCTGCCACCACCAGCTGACCAGCAGGATTGATGGCTAATGCTGTGGGATACTTCAACCCATCATCCTTAGTGACGATGTATTTGACAAACTCTCCTTGTGGATTCAGTGCCACTATCCTGTGGTTAAGAAAGTCAGCAACGAAGATGTGACCATGGTTATCTGTGCATACTCCATGTGGTACGCTCAGCTTAACATCACTACTGCCTCGATCTGGTTTCTTCACCTGATCATCACCACTGTCTCCGTCTGGTTTCTTCAGCTGACCATCACCACTGTCTCCGTCTGGTTTCTTCAGCTGACCATCACCACTGTCTCGTGTGACATACTGGTACAGCTGATCACCGGTAGGTGACAGCACATGTACACTCTTAGTGCCCCAGTCTGATATCACAATGTTATCATTCACACTGTGCATTGTGATGTACGCAGGATAAATACACTTACTGAGTGAAATAATATCCATGAGCTGTCCACTGCTAGCATGGAACGTGAAGATGGATTTCTCTATCATGTCACAAACCATGACGTGGCCTTCTCTGTTCAGCGTAATACCAGATGGCATCTCCAGTTGACCTTGACCCATGGTTGTCACCTGCTGACCAATGGTGGAGTACACTTTGACACATTTGTCACCCGGTGATGTTATATACAGGTGACCAGTCTGTGACACAGCAACGTTATATGGGCTTTTTACTTTTATGTCAAACTGAAAATGACCTTCATCTGTAAATACAAGTGTTCTGTTAGTTGTGATTTCAGCAAGAAAAATATGCTGTTTATAAATGTCCAGTCCACTTATGGATATATTTTCTGTACCCTTTTGTTTAGGATTGAAGGAATGCACACACACTGCCTTCTCCAAGAGAGGAGAAGGATGTATATCTGATTCTTGATTTGTTCCTTGTTCAGCCAATGTAGGTTGTGACTGTTCTGTCATCTGACCTGACATGGCTTCCTGTGTGTCAGAATATGTAGATGTCTTACCTGGGCTGTAGAATATCTTTGAAGGTAGGTCTGGTATCGGTGCAGGTAAAGCTGCCAGGCTCGCAATCAGAGGTTTTACATGTAAGCGAATCGTGCCATGTCTATATGGCTGTTTTCAAATATACAAATCGCTATTGATCTCTAACAACCTAGCTAGTTTTGGTCAATGATAGGTAATTTTTTTTCTGTTGACTGCTGGTGTTGTAGCCTTGATTAATAGCGATTGCAGTAGCATAAGCACACGCTCAGTGTATCCTTAAAGTAATCTAATGTCACTCCAGATTTTCAGGAATAAGTACCGTTGTTATCAAAATCTCCACAGTAGGCGTCATATAACTTCTTCTATTCCCTTATAAAGGTTTAAAAGTAAGACAAAACATGTTTATTACCTGTAGCTGGCCTGGCCATAGCAACTGTCAGGTCAGTTGGAAAAGTCATTGTGTGGTGGTTGTTGATGTAGTCGAACTGGGTTTACTTGGTACTCTCAGGTTCAGGTTAATATGAAACAAATAGGTCCATTCACACGGATGTGTCCCCCCTGCTTTTTCTTTTCTTTTTTTTAAATACGCATTCATAATTGCTGGCACACATGTTTCAGAAGAATTTTAGTGGAAAGTTTCCTTGTACATTTATATTCTCGGTTGCTATTATTATTATTATTATTATTATTATTATTTTTATTATTATTATTATTATTGTTGTTGTTGTTGTTTTTAACTTACAGGGTAATATTTGCCAAGTGCAGTATGGCGATTCCACTCATCAACCAAAAAAGTGGTACGACAGTTCTATAAATGCCTACATTTGACAATAGTCTCTTTTTTATATTTCTTTATGTCAAATATTTATTTTTATATTATTGCAATAAAATGAAAAACTTTATGGAGTTAAAAAATCCCCCGTTTTGCTGTTTTATTCACCACCCACACACTTCTGTCTTAAAGGTCTACTCCCATTATTAAGATCAAATAAAGTAAAAAAATAAATAAACAAGGACCTTTCAAAGTAAGTTTAACACGCTGGAAAATGGACGTGCATGTGACAAACTGCAAAGGTTCTGTAATCATGTAGCAAGAAAACAGCGCCAACAAGTCGGGCGTGTGTCTTGGGTGTGGGGGTACATACACAGCTGTGCACAACACACCAACCCGCACGAAAACGCAATAGATACTCCAGCGCAGTAGATACTCCAATCATACTGCAAACATGCCTCAAATCTGCTTCGACGTGGGAGCTAATTAGCATATTTGAAACATGCTTCTATCATGCTGCTAATCTACTGCATTAATGCTCCTATCTGTACAAAACTATATACTTTTTGGAGTAGAATTGCAGTTGGCTGTACTGCATTTCTACTGCAAATATGCTCCACACCACTACTGCGTTAATGCTTCTTTGCTACTTCGATACTACTGCATTTTCGTGCGGGAAGGCTGGGCCAGCACTTAAACTAATTATACATACCTGTATAAATCGAAACTGTACGTACAGTTAGGTCATACAGTCTTCGCACATGCAATCATTTGGGTCGAACACGATGTTACGGTTTTCACAACCTTTCTTGATATGCCATTAGCTCGAATTGACAAGTTTATGTTGATGTCTGTTTGATGTGACAGAACTATCTTTCAAAACGACCAAGTTTATTTTCGCGTTTTCTAAACCAAAACGTACGAAAAATTCATACTTATCGAAACCCCTTTAAGTTTACTTTAAAAGCAGCTAACAGGCTATAAGGAATATTAAGCCTTTGTTATTATTTGTTTTGCTTTGTGTGAAAGTATGTGAAAGAAAACATCCAAAGTGCCCCTGTTAAGGTGTGGCGTGATTCTGTCACAGAGACATATATAATGTGAAGGCTGTTATATCAAAATGAAAGTACAGTGTACATATTAAGTATTGTTTTCAGCCAATATAATGGGTATCCTGGTGATAATTATTACATATTAACTTTGCAATCTGTGCCCAAATTAAGCGGAAGTTTTAGGAGGGTTAGTGGTGTGGGTGAGTTCACACAGGGCAGTTTAGGCCCGTTTACCTGGGTCAGGGGTGTGAACAAGTTCACACAGGGCAGAAGCTAAACCATGGGAAATATTTGCTTGATCTAATTACCACCACGTTTTATGCTCTTCTGTTACTGTGGAAATCTATTAAAGGTGACAAATACAGGGCTTCATATTCATGAGAATTCAAAGCCCCACCTTGGAAATACAACCTATATAGATGTCCTCTGCTATACTCCTTATACGTACACTTGCTCTCAAGCATATACGTACACGTAAAGTCTGTGCGCAGTGTTGTGTTTTACCAATTTAGAAATGCGAAAATGCCAGTGTTTGAAAAGGAGAAATTAAAAATAAATGTACATTACTTTTAAAAAATCCATGTTCATAAAAAAGAAATAAACATACATTTAATTTGTCTTTTCTTCGATGATTTGCTGAAATTAAAAAATAATACAAGATCATATATGTTAGATGATAAATGTGATGATAATATTAACTTTTTTATTTATTTGCGGGTCGGTGATGAAATTAAGGATAAGTTAAGATTACAAGGATATGCGTTTCTCAAAGTATTGTAAGTACACAGTTTCTGTCCAAGTTTGATTTCACAATGTATACATGACGTATACATTCACACTGTTCACTGCGATGTACATTGGGTATTGAGTCAAACTGAGTGGAATAGTGTTCAGGAGCTGTCCACTGTCTGCATGGAACGTGAAGATAGATTTCTTCTTATTGTCACAAACCATCACATGACTTTGTCTGTTCAATGTAAATACCCCATGGATCCTCCAGTGGACCCTGACCCATGGTTGTTAGGTGCTGACCTCTATTGGAAAACACTTGGATACATTTGTCATCTTGTGATGCTACATGTATATAGTATACAGGTGACTTGTATGTGACACAGCCACATCATATGTAAACGTGAATTCTCCAGCATGTGAGGAAACATTTGTTCTTTCATTTATTTTGTCCACTATAAAAATGTGTTGACAATCTACGGCCAATGCAAACCAATTATGAGCATGCACCAACTTTCAGTTTAGCAGTGAAAAGAAGACATGTTTACTGCGTTCTCTAAGAAAACGGGAGGGTGCAATTCTAATCTAAGATTTACCCTTGGTCTTGGAAGTTGTGCCTGTACTGTCACCTGCCCTAACAGTAACATAGCTTCCAGCACGACAGTAGATGTTGTACCAGGACTAAACGACTTCTGTGCAGGTGAGTCTAGAGTAAGTATATTCTCCACCGATCGCCTCTGGTCTTTCTATCAGGTGTTTTACATGAACCATGATATCAGAGTCAGTGCCATTGTTACAAGTTGCAATATTGATAGCATGCACTTTATTTGGTATAACTGTAAATACAACAAGTGGAAAGCAAATACAGGGTATGGGCAACAACTGATACCCAGATCATCATCATCATCTCTTCATCGTTAAAAGCTTTGGACATAATTCCTTTTTATGTCCAAGTTAAAAGTAATGTTTTCTTACTGTGTATTATTATGTCATTGCATGAAAAATGTGCATTTCGTGTGTGGTTATTATTTTCCAGGAGATTTTTTTAAAACAGTGTTGTAAAATTATCATTTTTGGAAGATGTGGAATACAAACACATTTTTCCAGTTAATACACAGGTGCATCGTTTTTCTCCTCCACAATGAGATAACCCGCAATCCTCTCTAGCACAATGAGAAATCCTCTCTAGCACAGTGAGAAAACCCGCAATCGTGACATGAAGACAAGACTGTCGCCGTCTTGGATGGAAAGATAAAGATTCCGTTTGAACGTTATAATGATTGCGTTCCCTCGCAAAGATTGCGACAGAACGTAATAGTTTAATTGAGTTCGACGAATGAATTTTTTTATTTTTATTTTTTTGCTTGTTTGCATGTCCCTTTAAACGCTCTGTACAAATCACTCTCATCTGTGGAACTCTCCCACTCTAAGATATTCTGGATCTTTCTTTTCCTCAGGTATTTCATTCTTTTATATTAGTTTGTCATATCCTGATCTGATTAATACTTTGAGTGGAATTTTTAGAATAAAATAGCATGTACATAGGTAGTGTAGGAATCCTGGTGGGGTCGTTTACGACGCCAGCACTATTTTGTTTCTAGTACGTAAGACAGGGGCAGACGGAAGCCATATTTTGCGTTCTCCGGAAAACGGTTAGAAATTTTCCAGTTTACATCGACGGGCACCTATTATTTACTGTTGGATGACGGTCAAAATTAGAAGATGGATCAACAAAAATAATTTTGAAGACTGTCAGAAAATATCTCTGGATCCGCCCCTATAAAATAACCATAAACGATATAAAATCTGTTAACATATCTTCTGAAAGCTGACAAATTCGTGAAATCTCATGGAAACACACGGTACGCAAAAAAAAAAAAAAAAAAAAAAAAACACTAACAGACATGCGCCTGGGGTCGTAAACGACCCCACCCGGTGCGAACAGGGTTAAATAATTAAAATTTGTCTGCATGGTTTCAAAGCCTCCTTGACATAGATCTAACGAATTTTGTCGCCGTTTTTTGTCCTATCATTTGTTTGTCAGTCGATGATTTCAAAGTACAACATCAATGAACGACTCCAGTATATTATTTTCTCATGACAATTAAGTTATTCAGTGCAGTTCTCGGTTATCACGCACATATAGGCCTACTCGGCTGGTAAGGTGTTTAAGTAAAGAAGTGTAAGCTCATGGAGCCTTGGGTCGCTTGCACCTGCTTTAAGTGCTGTCGGTTATCATGTAATTATTAAATGTTAGCTGTGACTGAGACCTAGAAATTAAAACCAATTGCTGATTAAATGTGATATGCTAAGCCACTTTGTGCGGGTGCGTCTGGTTAAATCACCATCACCTGTGGCTATCGTTACTATGCACTTTTCATGGCGGTTCTAGATTTCTTTTTATTATCAAGGAAAATGATTTTTTTTTTTTTTTTTTTGACAGTAGGAATCATAGGTAAAATGCAGCTTGGTTTTGAAACCCAGCCTAATTAGATTAGTGTGTGTGTGTGTGTGTGTGTGTGCGTGTGTGTTAATTTTTCATTTTGCTGCAAAATTTATTTCCTATGATGGAATAAAGAACACATGAAAATCAAATGAAGTCAAATTTTGGTGATGAAAGATGAATAAAAACTTTTTATTTATCACTGGCCTGCAGATGTGTTCCACTCTGTGACATTTTATTCCATTCACATTCATATATACTTAAAATGCATAACTGGATTATATTTTTTTCTGTCAAAAATAATATAGAACTGGTATTACTGGATACGGTAAGGTATCCATTATATTTGCTCTAACTTGTCTAATTTATCTCAGCATTCGTATAGATACTTGTACGTGACTTGTCCTAAATATTAGTAAATGTAGCACTACACAGGCTTTGTTTGCAAGTATTATGTATGAAGGCAGTGTGCCTTAGAACCCCTCTCTCTCTATATATATATATATATAGGGAGGCTGGACTAGGAAGAGGGGGAAATTTTTTCAAAGCAAATCCATATTATCTTTTAGATGCTTATACAACCTTATAAAACAGATGATTTTTTTTCTTGCCACATCCAAATAAATGTCTTAGTAATAAGATACCTGCTGAGGACTAGAAAGATTATAAATAATTCATTTAATAGAATCAGATCTTAGTCATTAACAGAAAAAAATGATATCAGAGAAGGAAAAAAAAAAAAGACAAATGATGGATGCAAACAGAATTATATGATATATAACTAGAGGATCAGAGAGGCGANCTCAGCACATCTTCCACAGAGTCCAGACATTTCCAAGTTTGATAACAAAGAAGAGGGCATTGTTAAGTCCACATACATCCGGAATGGTGCTACACGGACAAGCATTTCAAATTCTATGTCTGCAATGCTAAATTTATATCTGTTGCCTTGACGTATAATCAAAATACTGCATCCACCTCTGACACGATTTGAAACTCCTCTTCTTCCAATGTTGGTTCTGTGTCCATTGATGTTTATATGTATACCTCGTCCAGTCCTGCTATTTTCTATGACAAAATTTTCTCTAAGATAGCGAAGAGCAACTTGCTGCATGCAAAGGCCTCTACGACCACAGTTTCCGTACTTGATCTGAAAGTAATTAATTAATTTTTAAATACCAAGTTCCAGGCATTTTTATTACCAATGTATATCATCAACTAGAGGATCAGAGAGGCGATACCGCCTCCGAATATTGTACCACCAGCTGGAGCAAGCGCATTCATATAGACCCCCACATATACAAAATAAGGAACACAGCCACAGCTTGACAAGCTGTAAAAATGCAATCAACAAGAATTTTCAAAATATGCAAAAAATATATATATTACTAAAAATGGTACAATCAAAGTTAAGTTCATCGCAAGGTAGGTCAAAGGTCAATTCCAAGGTCATAGTAAATTGCCAGTATATGACTTCCTTTTCAACTTCAATAGTAACTATGGGCCTATCTCTGCCAGGTTTGGAGTNAACGGTGACTTGGCGGCGGAGCCGCAGGAGCCGCAGGAGCCGGCGGAGCCGGCGGAGCCGCAGGAGCCGGCGGAACATACGGGTCGGGACTAAAACCATGTGTACCGCCAGCGCCTACGCTGGTGGTACAATTAATAATAACCACAGTATATATGTAAGGATCATTCTGGTTATTAAACTTAACAATTACTAATGACTTCTAGGTACAAGTAACAAAAACAACTGCTTTATTGGTTACTTAAGATGTGCTATCTAATGCATAAGGGGCTGTTCAGAAAGAGTTGAGTTTATCTAGCTAGTGCACACCTCATGTAATTCCACAGAGACTCCCGCTAAATGGACTTTTACGAACCCTCAAAACCACCAGCTTCTGTTTTCTACTCCTCATCAGGAGGCATGTTAGTCTGTTAATCTGATTGCATTCAGCGAGATCACCAGTAGAGTTAGTGCACACTAGCTAGTTACAGCTTTATTCATTCTGAACGGCCCCTTATTAATTTTTTATGGACGCAAAGGACACATTATGATCCTGCACTTGTAGCCATGTATGGGATATATGTCAATGTACAAAGTAGTGGGGAATGGACTATAGTTCCTTGAAGACTACAATTCCTATCATACTGTCTCTGATTTCAATTTTCCCATCCCTCCCCAGTGTGTCTACGATATTAAGGTCAACTTCCTTGATATCACCAGGGGCGGATCCAGAGTTATTTTCTGACAGTCTTCCAAATTATCTTTGTAGATCTATCCTCCATTTTTGACTGTCTTCCGACAGAAAAAATTAGATACCCGTCAATGTAAACTTGAAAATTTGACCGTCTTCCGGAAGACCCAGAAGATGCCCTAAATCCACCCCTGATCACCACTGTCTCAACAGAGAAGGATATCATATCTTTACAAACAGGTTTCAGGGACAATTAAATAAAAGTAAATTCAGTATCCACTGAGTATACTCTACATAGTCGTTTTGAGAAGACTGCCTTTGCAATGACCTTGTTGACCTTGAGTAACACAATGGAAAATTATCAAAGACAAATTTCCCTTTTTTTGGTACAAGTCTCTCTTTTGTAATACTGCTTCCCACCTGCAGCATTAACAATCAACAAAAATGTAGTAACTGTTGTTATATTTGCACCTAAGTTTACCTAGTTCAAGGTCACAACCTTATGTGGACAAACACATGACCTTAAAGTGATAAAAAACCAAAATAAGAAAAAAACTATATCAGACTTTGAACACTTAGGGAAAAACAATCATACAGGGCTTTGGATTTCCCTTAGGCACTCTAAATGAGGATTCCTTTGTCATGAAAATGTTGTCACATCATATCCACTTTAACAATATTTTCAATTCCAGAATCCCTGAAAAGGGGTACCTCGGAAGCTAAATGAGGGTTTTTTGGCCTGGTGTACCCTCACCTGCAACAACCAAACCCAATTTCTACAATATTCTCCCTTTAAATAATCTTAATACTAGATTATAGTACTAAAATAATAAGCAGTATTTTTTATCAAGTATATAGTAAAATATATATTTTGATCTAATATTATTGATTTTTTTGTACTGCATCACAGGTAACTTTCAGAAAAAAAAAGAAAGTAACAATTATGAATTGTTTTGCTTTTCTATAAATGGATTTCTACAAAAGATAATTACAAAAATCAATTATTTTATTCACCTTCTTCTAAAGATCAACTGACTGTGGATGTTTGAAATGTGCAATGATGGGTAATGGCATCCTTTTGTTTAAAAAAGGGGAAATATGTTACTAAATAGAAAATGCAATGTTCTTTACACTACTTTGTGCTCGTCTGACGGGCGATGCTCAAACTCGTAATCAAGATGCACAAATGCTCGTTCCACCTCTGGAAGACGCTCCAGTTTCTGCTGTAATGGTTCACCTATGTCATGCGCTTCTTTCAAGGTCATAGTCTCGGGAAGAACAATATCGACTTCTACGATGTAATTGTTACCAAAATGGAATGCACGGACAGTGTCGATCTGTTGTATCTTTTCGCTGTGGTTTAATCCAATCCATGTTAACTTCTGTAGGAACTTTGGATTTGCGGTGTAGCCCGTGAGAAGTTTGATTTGCTCTGAAATTTATGATAATATTTATTATTTTTATTTATTAATTTATCCCATATGCAACAGACATGAACATGTACTGATCCCCCACCACCACATTTCAGTAAAACTGAAGACCAGCAACTTGATAACTAAGTTAATATGAGTGGAATTTTACAACCTATGGTAAGTACCATCACAAAAGAACTTTTGTCCAAAACTTGGATTTATGTTTCATTCTAAGCTAAGCTACACCCATACACTGGAATGATGATTATACAATGCTTGTAGTACTAATAATAAGTCATTTTGTAATGAAATGAGGAACAGATAATATAAGCAGGTCAATTTACTACCAGAAATTTAAAGAGGAAGCAGTTTTAAAGTTCTACAATGGCTAATCAAGTGAATTAACTTGGTTCACCCATGGGCATGTCCATTTCCTTTTAGTCGTATAAGAAACTAATACAGGTGGTTTATATGTGTTACATAAAATGTATTGATCTTCTGCTAATTTACCTCGAGTCCGAGTAGACTGAAAATTTAGTTCAACATAAATGTCTGGGCAATAGTTCTTTTGTGACAGTGCAAGCCCCTTATGGTGAAAACTGCCAGTAAAAACAGTTGGCTTAAATCTATGACATAGTGCTAAATGTGTTTATGTAACACATTAACAAAGAACAACATTTTCACATTTAATTTAATTATCTTAAATGGAATTTAATCTCATTTCTATTTAGAAATGTTAAAACACCTATATTCTGTTTTAGTTAACACATAAAGAGCATGGTCTTGAATGTCATTAGTATGACAATGACAGTATTTATACAAACATATTGAAACATGATAAAGAACACACAAACATGCACACACACACACACACATACCAATACACTTCACACACACACATGTGCACACACACACACACACACACTGCATGTGCATGTGGAAAAATAAAGCACTTCATCATGCATGTACACAGCAACTTACATAGACGAAATGTGCACACACACAACGCACGCATGCACGCAGAAAACAAATGAATGTGCAAACATAGATCTCCATACCGTATCCCATCTGCCACCAACTAAAGGCGATGTACAAACTGATCAAGATGGCGCCAATGGGGTCGGCATACGGCCACAACTTGTCGCCTGCAGTAGACACGAATACAACAATTATTATTACAATCTAAAACATTGTTTGAACCCATATAATTAAAAATTCCAGGGAACTCTTCTTTTATATACAGTAGATTCTGCATAACTTGTTACCTCAAATTATTACTTCCAATTATTCTTATCTTTTCTTTGGTTTTAGCTGAAACTAATGAAAACATTGCCTAATGACAATCATGAGTCCCAACTATATGATCTTGAACAAATCAAGGATGTTCAATTTACATTTAATTTAAATTTTTGAACAAATTAACATTCTAACCTCTCATTTTTGGGGTTCTTGGAATGCATTCTTAAGACAACAAAAACTTGAAAGGCTGACATGTTTTGATAAGAAGGGGATGGGGTGGTACAAGAATAATGCTTGGTTATGTTTCTTTTACTTGTCATCAATTTTTTTTCAAATAAAAAATATATCAAGGAGCAAAAACATGCTGAAATCCCTATAAAACAAAGACCCCATTCAGAATAGGGGACTAACTAGTCTGAGGGTCATATATGGCAACCCACTACAAAGCTTGCTGTCTAATCCGCTAATAGACACTGAATAGAAACACTGAATTAAAAGATTAAAGACAGGAAGGTTGGAAAATAGTTCAATTTGCTTAACAATACACACCTTAAGCCTGTTTTATAGATGCACCATTGTCTGCAAATTGGTCTAAACTTGACCCAGGTAAAGACAAACCATAAGTATTAGTCCAAATAAACTAAACATTTTGCTGTCTTGTAACAAGAAAGACAACTTAGGGCTGAAGTTTCAGGCCAATGCTTGCCATCTAATCCGCTAATAGACACTGAATAGATATCCTGTGGGGAAGTATTCAAGTGGGTCGGCCATATTAGACCCTCAGACTAGTTAGTCCCCTATTCTGAATGAGGCATAAGTTTAGCCCAATAAATTTTAAGACTTTGAAGTGTTACCTATAAGCCCCATGCCTAATGCGACCAGATTAGAGAGGACATCATTGCGATGGTCCTGAGCCAGGGCTTGGATGCTGGGATTCTTCATGCGCCGACAGAATATGAATAATATGAACTTGATGACTGAAACAAGCAAAAGTTACTGGCTAAGATAAAAGTAACACTTTTTTGTTCAGCAAAAATGCATATTTTTATAAGCAAACAACTATTTAGAAAATCTATAAAGTTTTCCATACAAAGTTAAATTGTCTTTTCTCTTCACTTATTTGATTTTTAGAGTCATATATAGACTTTTTTATATTTTAATACTACATGTTGTTTAAAAGATTCAAAAATAGTCTTTTTGATATTCTAAAAGACTCACTGACAAATCTTTAACAGTAAAATCAAGCTGTAAGACACTATAAACAAATTCCATATTAGGTATTTCAATTCTCCAAAATAATAGTAATCATAATAATAATCATAATAACACCAAAAAAAAAAATAAAGAAGCAGACAAAGAACCTACCAATGGTGCTACAGATGATGACAATAGTTGATATATCCATGTTAACTGTTCTTGGATTTCCCTGAGCAAGGCTGACAATGATCTCTATGGATTCTACAATCAGCTGAGCGGAAGCCAGAGACATGATGACGGAGAGGATGACGATGGCTACTGGCTCGAGTTTTGTGCGTCCTGCAATATAGATGTTGCAAATGTTATCTGGTTGGAGGAATTTTAAATAATTTTAGGAAGTTCATTTTTAAAATCATAAACAACTGACAAAGCCGTGCACGCGCGTGTGCGTGTGTGTGTGTAAGGGAGAGGAGAAATACAGTAAGAGAGGAGTGAACAAGGGAACAGAGAAAAAATGGTAAAGGAGAGTGACTGAGAGTGACAGAGAGAATAAGACAGAGGAAAGGAGACATAGAGAGAAAGTGAATGAGTGAGAAACCGAGAAAGAGTGTGGGTGAAGAAAGGGTCAGAGAAAAAGGAAGTTAGAGAGTGAGTGAAAGAGAGAAAGAGTAAGAAAAAGAAAGATACAAAGATAGGGGAGAGTGTGTGAATCAGTGACAGGCTGAGAGAGACTATTAGTGGAAGGAAAGGGTCGAGTGTGAGAGGGTGGAGAAAGATAGAATCATAAACCGACAGGACACACAGACCAGCACAATGAGTCAATCAAGAATTAAAAGATATCCCAGTTCTGCACCTTGTGGATAAACATAGGGGTCTCTCTTCTTCATGGCTCTGCTGCTCCACCAAATGACCAGTCCAGACAGCAGGTCCACCACGCTGTCCACCAGGCTGGAGATGACTGATAGTGAACCAGACAATCCTGCCGCCACTGCCTTAGCGATCATCAGTAACTATGGAAACAGGAATAAACAACAATGATTAGGTACAAAGAATTATGGGAAAGGTCATCTCAAGGTAAAATGAAGGCCACTGCCTTGGTTATCAGCAGAACCTATAACGATACAAACAGACATAAACAATCCTGCTGAGGTAAAAAGATTTTTAACAAAGGTCAACTGAAGGTCAAGCTGGAAATGACTAGGGGACCCTTCCACAAAAGAACTAAAGTTTTTTTAGCTAGAACTTAAGTTTTTTTGTTTAGTGAAAAAGTCTGCAGAATATACTAACTTACTATATTTATGCCCAAGGTAATCTTAGCTACAAGGCTGGCTTTACTCCGTTCTTTTTTTGCTGTCTCCTCCGTCTGCAGATCTACATCGAGATGCTGAGTATCCTCAAACTCCACGATCAGCTCATCCTGAGCTTTGTAAAAATGCCTGGAATTGTTTTCAATAAAGAAACATGTTTGAAACTGCCCTTATTTATTAACTGGCATGCCTGAAAGTGTCAATACTATCTTTGTCTCTATTAGTGCCAAAATTGCCCTAATTTGTTCCTTTCAATAAATGATGTACATGTACATATCATTTGAAATGAATAAGTCGAGATTTAAAAATATGCTTGTTTGTGAAAATAAGAACCAATTGAAGCAATCCAAGAAGAAACTTAAAATATTTTTTCAAGGTACCTGACTGATTTTGGCAGTTTTTTATCTTCTTTCTGTTTTCCCCTCTTTTTGGAAGTGAACATGTTGATGGAAAAGGGCCATGCTGACTTCTCCTCATCATCTTTATCTGCAAGTAAATAATATGAATCCAAATTATACCAAGCTTGAATATTTTCAACTTAAATTGTTTTGTTTTTTTTTTGTCACAAACTAACATTTTAAAATACTCATAAGAAACACTTACTAGTAATTGTCGATCTGACATCTTATCGCAATATTTTTTTCCAAATTTGATAAGATGACATTTCAAGGCTGTGGCATTTTAATTGAAATCCAAAACCAAAAGTCAGGAGATTGGTTAATTAAAACCTTTCCAACCACGTTGACCAAAAAAACTGAAATTAAACAATATTAATATCCAACACAAGCCCAATCACCGACATTACTTTGTACTTGCTATCTTCATATGTATTTATAATAATTACTTCTTTTAATTTAATATTAGATTACAGTCTCAAATAAACAATCATATATATCTACAGAGAGAGAGAAAATCCGAATTGTTCTTTCTTTTATCTGTATTTCTCACTTTGTAAAGGATTTTATCCTGCAATTTTAAAACTTACCTCTTAAATCTGCTACAAGCAGTTTTTCAGCAGGCCCTCCATTCTTCAAGACATGAGTATTATTTGGCAACTTCGATGCCAGGTTCAATGGTTTATGACAGCGACAGAAGTGTCTATTAACAACTTTTCTGCGAACATTTTGCTCTGATCTGTGCATTTCGTCTAAGCCCCCAGCAGACTTGCTTACTGCCACTGCATTTCTATCGAAATCAAGTTCCTGTGGATCGTATGTTGGCAAATCCAACATCGACACATACTTAAGCATGTCGGCTACCATTTTGATTCTTGCCTAAAGCAACCCCAGACACTTAAAATGGAGTCAATGTTGCTGCATTTTCCAGTCACGAAGAACTTGCCATGTAAACAAGGCACATAATTAATAACCCGTGCACTTTATCATTGTTCATAACATTTCCTGAGCTTAATATAAGATCTTCAGTGCTGATACATGTACCTTGGCTGTTTCTGGAAAAATATGAACTGTCCATAGAGCCAGCAAGTCAAGCATACCTCTGTTTTTAGTTCTTGTGAAGACATATGGTAATGACTTGATCCTTTCAACTGGGAAAATCATGAATTTTCCAGATACTAGTACTTCATTTTTTTAAGTCATGAATTCCTTTAAGTAGAACGCTCATATCCAGTAACAGCAAAAAAAAAAAAAAAAAAAAAAAGGCTACTTTGTAGTTTTATTCTAAATAGCAAAACTACTGCAAATGCTACACAGAAATTTATTAATTCTTAGTGTTTCCAAAATTATGAATCTGAAAAATTGATGATTTTTTCCCCATTGAGAACACTGAGTCATTACCTTCTTTGCAGTAAAAAAACAGCAAACATACATAATTGGAATAAAAATATGTAGTTCTTACTGTAGTTTCATGGCAAAAAGCATCCTAGCTGAACCAGCATATTCAAGTAACATCTCCAAGATAAATACAATATTCTCTGAAATAAATCCAACAGCTAGAAGCTATACAGCTGAAGTTTACAGTAGGGATTCTCTGCAAGTGTGAAGTACTACTGGTTTTGAATATCAACTACTGTTAACATGCACTGTATACCTTACAGGGTATCTGAAAATGTTTGACACAAAATTAAACTCTATCAAAACTTGGCCATGGTTAGATGAACTGGATATAAGAGAGATCTTGGAGCTGTTTTACAAAATTATTTTTGAAACGAAGCTTGCCTTGCATCCAAGACCAAATATGTATGCCCTATTGGCATCATACCACTTGTGAACCCTTATATTTTAGGCATTTAGTAAAGAGACAGCAAAACCTCTAAAATTTTGTCGTCCATCTCATTGTTTCTAACTCTACACACCACACATGGCCTAAAACTAGACAGGGCACCATAAAAAAAGAAAAAATGGCCTATATTTCTTTTCATCTCAATTTGAAATAGGTTGTTTTTTATGAATCAACCTGCATATCTCCTTTAATAAATCTAAGTCTCCCTAAAACCTTAAATCATAATAGGTTATGTCAGTGTCATTTTCTATAACATTTACATTTATTTAGGCAATGTCCTTAAAATGTGTCACAGAACACCATAAAATACCTGGTACATTTATCTCTGCAAGAACTACTATGACTGTATGCCAAATATCTCATGTCAATTATTGCCACATAAAATTATACAAATCCTTTTGTATATGCAAGTTTTATACCCTCTGTAGTCACCAGTGTCCCAGTTAGGACTGAGTGAGGAATCATCCCACCTCTCATGGTGACAGAGTGTATATACTTAAAGTCAGGCAATGTTTAGTGTCTGTATGTCTCTACACATCTGTAACTGACTTCCTTTACTAAACAAAAATGCCATAAGGACCAACCATCATTAATAAAGATAGAGACAATGTCTCTATACCTCCCCCTTCTCTCTCTCTCTCTGTGTCTGTGTGTGTATCATCACACATTTTTTTGGTGTTGAGGACCCTTAGTTATAAACTGATATTCAATAGTTTTCATTAGTAAATCAATTTGGGCTCAGATATCATTTGTCTCACTAAATTGTTACAAAAGTAGTGCTACTATTCCAAAGAAATCCACTGAGACATAAAAGAAGTATTTTCCTTGATACGATATTTGCTTTCACTAGAATACCATAATGATATCCATCTTTCATTTCAACTTTCTGACATTCAGTCTTTTTTTTACATCAATAATGAATGTGACATAACCTAAAAAACACAAAGAGGAGACTGAAAAATAATTCTGTGGCTCTATTCAGACAGGGAATCAATTTTTCATCTTAGGTAAACCTAAGAGTCTTATCCATATGCTATATATATAATGGCGCAGATTGAGTCTGAAGACTCCCCTTTACTACTTTTCAACTGGAAATATTCTTAAACAAACTGACCAGTGTTTATAGAAACTGATAACAGCAATATGGTCATCTCTCTCTAACCTTTGTCCAGTTCATAGTTAAACAAAAACTGGCCTCCACTCACCCTTCCTTATTTAATACCAGCTCTCCTAAAACCTGAAAAAGCAATGTTTCTGTCTAAGAAACTACAATATCATATGAAACAGTAAATAACACCTGTTCAGCAAACTGTTTGTCCTTAAATAACCCACTGAGCCAGAAAAAGTATCCCAAAAACATCTTCCATTACTACTGGTACCTCAATTACCTATCAATCAAGTCTCTTGCGGGGTGACCTGACCACTCTTAGCAAAATTTCAGGCCCCCTGCAAATTTGCAGCAATTTTACTGCAATACTGCCGCAAACCACAATTCCTTCTTGCAAACTTGCAGTAAATTTGCTGCAATATGGCTGCAGATTAGCAGCAATAAAATTTTTCTTGCAAATTCCTGCAAACTTGTTGCAAACTTTTCATTTTGCTACAGGGATGCAGACCCAGTGAAAAACACCAAAACATTATCAGACTTGGGTACTAATACAGGGGGGAGAGATAGAGGACGTCTTCTGGGTCTTCTGTAAGATGGTCAAATTCCTGCAAACTTGTTGCTGAAGCTTTTAGTTTGCAGCGATATTGCTGCAACTATGCTGCAAACTTTTCATTTTGCTAAAGGGATGCAAACCCAGTGAAAAACACCAAAATATTATCAGACTTAGGTACTAATACAGGGGCAGATAGAGGACATCTTCTGGGTCTTCTGTAAGATGGACAGTATTTTTTAGTTTATACATTGACAGGCATCTAACTTTTTCTGCTGGAAGAGGGTCAAAAATGGAGGATGGATCAACAAAGATAATTTGGAAGACTGTCAGAAAATATCTCTGGATCTGCACAGCTTGTAATAAGTTCAGTTTTTTAGGGTACTAATACGTTCAGTTTCATCCATCTGGGTGAATAATCCAGTTTGTTAATTTTTACCTCTAATTTTTCTCAGGCTGAAAAAATTAAATGGCAAAAATTAACACATTAAAACATTGCTTAATTCCCATCACTATCTTAGTCTTGTAAGCTAAAAATCAATACAATTGACAAATGACCTGGAGAAAAAAAACCTGTCTAAACTATGCAAAGAGTATAGAGCTAGAGAAGTTCAAACCTTTATCTGCAGCCTTTCTTGTTCAAACATTGATAAGACCAACTAACATTTGATTCAACAACACTGCAAATATCTATTAATATCCCTCATTACTGATAAAGCTCAAGTTTATGGAGTTGGTTCTTACACATGACGGCACCAGTATCCAACAATTTTCATTGTGCACTGCCACTTTTTATCCAACAATAATCTACCACACCACTTTTATCATATTTTCTTTTCTCATTCAGGGAGTCATCTTCCTCATAATGTAGATCAGATGGCATATTTTTATTACATTAATAACCAATCGATAACCAATTCTGGATATAGCAAATTGCATCCAATTACGCCTAAAGGACCCACATGTTATGTATTTCGCACACACACATGCCATGCATGAATACACAATGGGTTTCTGGACATCCATCGTAACTTAAGTCAAATCAAGGAGTTATAACTCCTTGGTCAAATACAGGACTTGTCAGCAAGGTATACATAACATCCATTCCTACTTTGCACAGGACAGTGTGATCACACCTGACTGGCTGATGCATTATGAGAAATTTGTCATAAAAATCATCATTATCCACTGTTGGACGAAGGCCTCAGCAAGCTTCTACCAGTGTATTCTGTCTTGGGCCTCACTCTTTCAGTTTGGTTTTTTCCAGTACTCATATAACACATCCTTCAATCTCTTATGAGGCTTCCCTTCTGTCAGTCTTTTTGTCCATCTGTCATCTTTTATTTTGCTAACATGTCCTGCCCTTCTTCATTTCATTTCTTTAATTGTAAACAGCACATCGGTCATAAAAATAGTGTCAACTTTTTCAAAATTCTCTACAGGTGCTTCTCAGTAGAGTATTGTACTTCTACACATGTGCATGCAACCACACATATACAGACTCACATACACTTGTGCATGAACAAACACATGAATTCACATTTTTACCTTTAGATTCCAGGACATTCAAAAGCTATGTTGAATACATACACACCACACACCAACATTTACCTATACTAAATATAAAAACAGTACATAATATCATATATTTAGCACAGTCACAGTAACTCTTGATTAAAACTTGCACCTTTCATTACTACTAAAACAAGTACTGAAAGGTGCAATATTTCCAGCAATCATTGCTACTCTATAATATTTCCAGTTAAGTGTGAATGGACATCCTATATCAAACCATTTTATATATATTATTGTAATGCTGCATTCCTCTTCTGATATCAAGGCAAATTATCCCACAGATGGCAGACTTTCAGATTTGAACAAAAAGCTTTCCACTCAAAGAAAGGTACATGTCAATATTTCCAGTCAAAATGCTTCTAAATGTCAATGTTTCCAAATTAATGAAAACTGACATCTTATTTAACCTATTCTTGCAGTTATAAGTGCATTGCTAAATAATGAATAAGTTAATCTGCAAGTAAACTGATTTACAATTATTTTAAACTGCCACTGCTTTATAATGAGCCACCAGCACTAATGAAATAATTAATCCTGATTCTTCCACAAAGATTTGAGTGATTTCCTGTTGTGTGCTGACATTTAGAGAGCTATGTCATGCCTCCAAAGCTACATTTTTTCAGTTACTGTAACAGCAATATTCAATTTACCGAGCCTTTCACCTAATCATATTTACATACTGATTGTATAATTCCGCCTGAGTGTGCTTTTGGATTTAATGCTAGAAATGAACATTTGCTGCTAGATCAGACATCAATATCGAAATATGGAAATAAAGCTGGAGAACTGCAATTAATGCAAGTTAAAAAGAACCATTAAGCCCCTATAGAATTTTGCTGTATAACTGTAATGATATATATAAACAGCATGCCCATTTTAAAAATAAAAATATCAACTTGTTAACTAGAGTTCACACTGATTCCATTTGTACTTAGGCAAAGTAAGTTAAGATACCTCCATCATCTCTGTATTATTTATGTGCAACATAAGATTCAGTTCATCTACATATAATTCATTTCACCTGTTATTATTCTCAGCCATCAACTGTGCTGCATGCCTCATCTAGGAAAATAAATGCCCCCATCGCAACATCCTGCAAGTTAAACAGAGCTCACAACCAAGGTTAATTA